CAAAGAATTTTTGCATTATGCAAATGAAGGCATGGGCAGACCATGGCCTATAACAGTAGACCACTTGCAACAATTTGTGATTCACACACATTTTAAGGTTTTGGTTCCCTGCACCATTCAAGGAAGAGATCTGCCCTGACCTTTATACTAAGGCTCATGGTTACCCCAATCTGCTTGGCAACTTCAGAATTAAAAAGCTGATTAAGGATTGCTCTAAGGATGAAGACACATGCACACCCATGTCCCCCCAGGATACTTGTTCAGTTGGGCCAAGTTTGGAAAGCTGTCTGCCCCGACCAATTTGAAGCGAGATTATTTAAGGCAGCTACGCTATGCACATTTTGGGGGGCTTTTCAGATTGGTGAGTTGGTGAGAGCATCAAAATTAGTTAATTCCCGTTCGGTGTTGCAGATGAAGGACCTGCTGGTCTCCGAAGATGGGGCCTTGTTGCATCTCTGCCTATCAAAAACTGAACAGTTTGAAAAGGGTCAAATTATAAGGCTAGGGCCCTGTTCTCTAAAAGAGCTCTCCTCAGTCAAAGCCAACACCGAGTTTGTTCAGTTGAGAGGGTAATCCGGAGGGGATTTGTTTTGACACAGTGATGGTTCTCCCCTTACTAGGTATCAATTTTAGGCAATCACTTCCCGAGGCCTCTGTGAGGCAGACATTGTGGGGTGGAAATTCGGAACTCATTCATTTTCATATAGACACAGTGTCTATAGCTGCCGCCCTTGGTTATGGAGAGGAGCAAATTAAGAAATTGGGGAGGTGGTCATCACACAGGTTTAAAATGTATGTGCATTCCCTCCCAGTATAGATGTGACCCTGTTTTTATCTTTCAGGACCCATGGCAGCTTCTTCCTAGCTGTGAGTGGTGGTGTATGGGCACAGCTATATATACTGGGCCATGAAGCATGCCTTGAGAAGAGACTGGGGACATGATTTAGGTGTGGGGGCCCTGGCCACTCTTGAATGGAAAGGAAGAAGGGGCATGTTATGGCCAGAACTATTGGGGCTAGCCGTATCAAGTTTTGAGCATGCACCCCCCCCCAATCTAATGGTAGTTCATTGGTTGGGAATGAGTTGTCAAGTAGAAAAGGCAAGTCATTGATGTTGCAATTTATCCACGATCTGCAGACATTGAAGAATAGGTTTCCTTCAATGAAGCTAATCTGGTTTAATATTATTCCAAGATTTGTCTGGAGAGCCACCTGTGAATGTAGTCGGATAGATCACTCCAGGTGTGGAGTAAATCATAAGATCTACTGTGCAATGAGGTCAGGACTGGGTCCATTGATTCAACATCCAGCCATAACAATTCATCAACCTGAATTATTCAGAAGCAATGGCGTTCATATGTCTGAGTTGGGGATGGACATTTTTCTGAAAGACCTGCAAGGGGGCCTTTGAGCCAAAGTTTTCGGCTTAGGTGGTGGGCGTGGGGCATATAAATAGCCCCATGCTGTGGCAGGCAGTGTGATAAAAAAAGCTTGGGGGAGTTCAGGAATGACACATGGTGCCAAAAATTTGGTTGTCTCTCTGTCAGGTTGTGACAATCAGCTATCAGATAAGAGGTGGTTTTTCATGGTACGATCTCCCAGCCAGCTGCCCACCTAGAGGCACAAGGCTTGGCGGAAGGTTGGGTCCCTCTACAGCAGCCTCTTTGCTGCCTTCTCTGCAATCGCTCCCACCCACCCTTGGACTAAGAATGAGACCAATGGAGCTGGATGGGAATTTTTGGCTTGCATCCTAATTGGCAGTTGGTTGCAGGTGTGTTTTCGCCCATCTCATTCTTATCTACAGTGTGTGGTTATATATGTCATGGAAATAATGGTTAGTTAAAATTCCTTTCGGTCACAGCTTTGGGTAATGTGATAAAAAAGCTTGGGTGAGTTCTGGATTGACACATGGTACCAAAAAAATTGGCCATCTCTCTGTCAGGTTGTGACAATCAGCTATCAGATGAGAGGTGACTTTACATGGTGTGATCTCCCAGCCAGCTACCCACTTAGGGTCACGAGGCTCAGTGGGAGGAGTTGGTTGGGGAGCTAACAGTTCACAGAGCACCTGAAGGCATGCTGTACAGTGGACAGCCTGATTCAGAAATAGGAGCTCGCCCTGCTATAGGAAATGTCCGGAGATCTAGGATTATCCGGACATTGAAGAATATCGCACTGCGGTAGCTCTCCTTGCATTTGAGGGATATGACTTTAAATAGTTAATAAAGTTGTGGCCCAAGTTTGAAACCCAGCAGCTGTGTCTTGTCTTGTTATTTCCGGGCTGGGTGGGCAATGGCTGCTGACAGCCATTGTTGGTCATACTACCGCATCTTTGCAATTGCCTTCAGGACATTGTTGGATGAAAGATTTATCAAGCAATATAGCATATAAGGGGTGAAAGAAATGCTTAAAAAATGAAAACACAAAACAACACAAATCATTTGTGTATCTCTTTTTTATTAACACAAAAAATTCATGTTAAAGAAGCTCTGTTTTGGAAGCAAATTAAAGAATAATGAAAGAGAGTGATCCTCCCATTGTTGTTCCTTTCCTGTAAAAATGAAAGAGCCATCACTAGTGTTCACAGACTATTTAATGAATTGTTCTAGAAATCTCCTTGGAATCACTATGATGACAAGAAGTTGCCTGGATCTTTTCCCCCTTTCTGAAGACAGGGATAATGTTTTTGCACTTGTAGGCATCATCTGTATGTCAAAAGTTCTCAGCTGTGACTCAGGTCAAGTCAGTCTGTGGCCAAATCTGTGTTAAACAGTTCTTCCTTTTCTTTCTCATCCATTAGCATCTCTCCATCATTTCTGCAGAGCAAAGCTACCATTTCCTCTTGATGCAAATATTTCACCATCACTCCTTTTTAAAATCTTTCTTTCAAGCCTGAATTCATTCTGAGCTGTAGGCCTCCTGACCTTCTCCTTACAACTAACGCTATTTCCTCTGTACTCCCACTTTGTGATTTACCCATTCCTTCTTCTATTTTCTGTACACAGTTCTTCTAAATTTCTCTTCTTCTTATATATTCATCCCAGTTTGTTTGGTTGGTTTAGAAACTTCACATGCTTCCTTTTTCCTGGATTTTGGTGTGTGTGTTTTTTTTTTTGGGGGGGGGTCCTGGCTTCAGTACCTCACCTTAAGAAACCTTGATCCATCATGAACTCCCTTCTCTCTGTGAATGTCTGGCCATGTATCTCACCAGTATTTCCTTAAGCTAATTGAAATCAGCTTCCTTAAAGTCTCGAGTTTGTGTTATACTATCCTCAGCTTTCTCTTTCATCAGTATGATGAATCCAAGAAGACATGATCCTCAACCCCAGGTTCTCATTACTTCTGCCTCATTAACTAATTATTCCCAGGTGATAAGAATAGGGACTAGGATAGGTGGTCACCTTGTTTCTTCTTCTAATTTCTAGGAAATTAAATGGTTGGCTAGGCAATTGAGCAATTTGTTTGACCATGAATTCTTGGTACAACAGTTTAACTTCCAGCAGATACTGGGGTACCTGAAATCTCCTTTTACTGATATATCCTGGGTGGGTTTTTGTTTTGTTTTGTTTTGATTTTTTAAAATCTAAGATGGCATCATTCAACTATTCAGTCTGGATTGAAGGTTTGTAGCAAACTCCTTCAGCTATATCACTTGTGTTTCTTTCTCTTTGATTTCTACCCAAACTCTCTCAAACAACCCTCCCACATTTCAAGTTAACAAGCTCCTCGCAGGTGTACACATACTTTACATATAATGACATATAATATTATCCCCTGTCTGTTTAGTCTATTCCTTTTAATACCCTTCAATTTCTTACATTTCAGTCATAAGTCTCTTCCCACCAGATTTCAGTAATGCCTATCAAAATATATTTCATGTTCTTCTTATATGTCCCCTATGCTCTGCCTCAGAAACCATGTTAAGCTCTTCTACTGCTTTCTTTCTGTTTTTTTCTCCAGTACCCCTGTCCCAGTTTCTGGTGTGCCATCAAAACTCTTATCTCCAGTCCTTGGTGACCAACTGTCTTCTATATTACTCTCGTGCCTTCCCAGAGAACCTGGTGTTGATTGAGGCATCGGGCTGTCTGCAAGTGTTCCAGATTCTGGTGATCAGTCAAAACTTGGATGGGGTGATGCCCCCCTTCAAGGTAATGCCTCCAGACATTGAAAGCGGTTTTGATGGCCAGAAGTTCCTGCTGCCAGATGGTGTAGCTGCATTCTGAAGGTGTTAAAGGAGTAAAAAGTGCAGGACTGCAGTGGCTGTGAGGGGTCCTCCCACTGGGACAGCACTGCACTCGCTGGGCCGGAGTGGAGGAGATGCTCATCTATGGACTCAAACTAGAGCCAGGGTATCTTTGTCCTGTACAGGAATTCGGTGATGTTTCACAAAGACCATGTCAATGAAACAGTGGTCGGCCCCAGAATCAATGATGGCATAAACAAACAGCCAGCGCCCATCCGGTAAGCAAAGTTTCACTGACACAAGGAATGGACCCTGGATATTAAAATAGGGTTCAGGGGACCCAACTAAGTGCCTCATGTCTGGGGGTTCATTCTTTTGCTGGGGCAAATCTTTTGCTGGTGGTGGTATCATGGAGCCGGGGGGCACGCTGCTTGACAAAGCAGCCAGAAACAAAGTGTCCTGCTCCCCCCACAGTATAGGCAGAGATTCTGTGAACGGCACCATGCTTTTTCCTCAGGGGTGAGGTGTGGCTGAGCAGCCCCAAACTCTATGAGCTCGAAATCCTCTTATCCAGTGCTAGCAGGGATCGGGAGTGGCTGCGAGGGATGGGAACCACCCCATACTAGATGTTGGCTCTCTAGGCAGTTATCAATGTGATTGAATCATGCGGTCACAGCGTGATTGAACAGGTTTGTGTGGTCCAACCCATGTTCTGCATAAACTCCTTAATTATGGAAACACAGCTCATTGACCAAGGAAGCAACCCTTTGTCAGCAACATGTTCAGTACAACTAGCTGCTCACTTTTGCAATTTTTACCTCTCATCCTGGGCCATAATCTTCAGTAGGAAGAAGTGAGGAAATAATCCGCTGTACCCCAAGGTCCTTGCACCATACTGAAGGCAATGTCTGGTAATACCATTTTCCCCACAAGATGCGAAAAAAGAAATAATGATCGGTGTTTTTGACAATTTTTGTAGCCTCTCTCTTATATCCTGGAACACGTCTTCCTGATTCATAATTTTAAACCCATAATGCTGTCTCTGTTCTTTCCCCCTATCACTACTGTCACTACCACCTCACCAGCCCTGCACAGAAAGCTGGTTTACATGACATGAATGCCAAATTAGTTTACACATTAATATAGCCATTCCTGACTTACAGATTCTTCAGCATCTCAAACAGAGGCCAGTAGTCATGTTTAGGGACTACATCTGATACTGAATTGCTTCATTCACAGTGAGTACATATTTAAGTCCCAGCCTCCTTCCCACTCATCCCAAATTAAGGCAGACCTTCACATGTTCACTGTGAAAGTCTGCAGAGGCACTTGTAAATGCCTTAACCCACTGTTTACAGTGTTTGTGTGATGGAAAGCTCTCCCTTAACAGGGTTCTTGATCATGGGAGCACTGTAGGTGCCTCATGGCTCAGTGATTAAACTGCTTTACTTCAGCCAAAAAATGTGCTCATGACTCAGGATTCAATCCCACTCTCAGCCTTCTATCCTTCCAAGGTCAGTAAAATTAGTACCCAGGTCTGGGGGGGGGGGAATGTGTAGCCTGCATAATTAACTCATAAACCACCCAGAGAGTGCTTTAAGTGCTATCAGGCAGTATATAAGCAGCACACTTTGCTTTTGATGCACTTATGAAAACCTCTGAGACCACATTGAAGACAAAAGTTTTCCTTACTTTTGGGTGGAGATGTGAAGGGTGGGACACACACACACAATTTAGTTAGTCCTTCATTATTTTCAGTCATAATATTTGAATAGGACTGATTTATGTCTCTATTTCACTTATTGGTGAACACAAGCAGAGTTAGCATTTATCTCTTGCTTCTCTGCTTTTCATTCCTGGAAAGAATACTTCTCCTTTGACCCCAGGATCACTTTTTCGATGCTCTCTTGGCCCTTGCATCTCCTGCTACCCAATCCTTTCCAAAAAATGGAATTGCTGGAGTTTGAAGCTGAATCTTCAGCATGCAATCACAAGTGTCACCTTATCAAGTCAGTCAGAAGCTTGGATGCCAAGATATTGCCCCTTTTTCAACTGAGCAGAAGTTCTGCTGGTGTAGGAGCCAATGGCGGATTTGCAAGGTTGCCAATGTGTGATTAGTAGAGAAAGTGCACCAAATATATAGCAGATATCCTGAATGAGGGTGGGGGAGATTGGACAGAAGAAGAGGTAATCGAACAGGCCTCAGTTAGCTTTTCTTCTCACATTATGTTTTGATCATTATTCTTTTCTATTCTCTGGGGCCACTACCTAATTCTCTTCCTTTTCAGTCTTACACAGAAAGGAAGATTGGCATGTATGGAAGTTAACTATAGGTGTGGAGTGGAAACTACTTAAATCTCCTTTTGTCTAATTTAGGAAAACTTCTGCCTAAAGGTTGCAGCTGCATTCTGTTCCAGTGACATGCACACACTCCTGGCAGGAGCAGCAGCTGCCAGTGGGTGGGGTAACTTCTAATTCTGCCCTTTTGCTTAGAGGTAGAGCAATAGATCAAAGAGTTTCTGCAGCCAATCCTGGTTATGATTAGGTAACTAGTATCCTATTTGAATTCTCACAACATACTATGTAATCATGCTAAGTTAATAAAAAAGAGTTCTCAGGGTATCGCCTTGAGGCTCCACTGGCTCGGACATCTGCTTGTTGACTCTTGTACTTTCTCTAAGGCAATTAGTATTCCTTTGTTCCACGATCACCCACATCTGGTGCTTGAACAGGAACCATCAAACAAAAATATCAAATAGGGACCTTTGAAAGGGACATAAACATCACCTGAGGCATAGGCAGCTCACCTTGCCCAGCAAGGGTTACAGACCCATCTTGATATCCTTTTTAGGATCTTGGTGAGTATTTAGTTTTAAACACGATGGGAAACTCCCTTTCACCGCTTCAAAAACAACATAAATGAGACTTGATTTATTTGCTTCATAGGATCACCGTGACACATCTGATTCAGTAGAGAATTTACTGATGGAAATAAGTACTTTTTGTTCATGGTACCTAGCAGAGGGAAGCCTTAAGCTTTTAGATTGGGATAAAATTGGAAATAAACTGCACGAAGACACTGTGGCTCCAGTTTAAGTCCTCCAAACATGTCATCTTTGCCAGGATGCGATTTCAAAGATCATGAATCCTTTATTAGCTCAGTCTTTAGCTAATTTTCCAACGGCCCTTCAGATTTTGCCTCCCTCTACGCCACCTGATCTCCATGAAAATAGGAACAATCTCCCTTCCTATGCAGCTACTGCTGCTTTTCTGACAGCCCCTTCTTCCCGTTCTCCTTTCCTTTTTCCTCCCCTCTCACCCTCCTCACTCAACAGTGCAGCAGATGTTATCTGATGTTATGGCCCAAGGAAACCTGGAGGATCTTGCTGCTGCCCTCCCCCTTATGTCTGTTTGTCTTGTCGTTCATAACAATCAGGGACGTTTTGTTCATCAAAGCCTTCCCCTTGCCATGTTTAAAGAGTTGGACAAAAGTGTAGCTGAAAATGGTCCCCATAGCAGTTTCACTCTCGGATTAGTTGATGGCTTATGAGAAAATGGAAACCTCACTCCAGCTCACTCCAGCTGATTGGAAAATTTTGGTTAAAGCTATGCTTTCTCCTGGGCAATTTCTACTTTTTTTTTGGAAGAAATGGAAAGATTCTGCTGCCATTGTGGGCATGAATAATTTACAAAACAATATTGCTATGTCTGCAAATATATTGACTGGAGAAGGGCTTTTTGTCACCATAGCACAGCAGATTACCATCCCTAGGAGGGGATTGGCACAAGTGGCTGACATTGGTAGGGCAGCCTGGATAAAAATAACAGACAAAGGTACCAGGTCTTTTGCCAGTTTGCATCAGGGTCCTACAGAGGATGCAAATACATATTTCATTAACAAATTGCAAAGAGTTATTTAACAGCAGGTGGAGAATGTTGAGGCTGCTAATATTTTAATGAAACAGCTGGCATTTGAAAATGCTAACCTGGATTGTACATTGGTAGGGCAGCCTGGATAAAAATAACAGACAAAGGTACCAGGTCTTTTGCCAGTTTGCATCAGGGTCCTACAGAGGATGCAAATACATATTTCATTAACAAATTGCAAAGAGTTATTTAACAGCAGGTGGAGAATGTTGAGGCTGCTAATATTTTAATGAAACAGCTGGCATTTGAAAATGCTAACCTGGATTGTAAAATGGCCCTTCAGGCTATTTACAATAAGCCAGAGACTGACATTGCTGCCATGCTCAGATTATGTCAAAACATTGGCACAGAAGCTCACAAGACACAGCTCTTGGCCACACCCATGGCTACCTCCCTGAATCTCACTTGAAATCGCAAATGTTTTTCCTGTGGCAAGGAAGGACACTTCAGTCAGGAATGTAGATCAAACCCCTCCCCCCAAAAAAATAATAAAGGCCATTCTACAAAATGCTCACAGTGTCAACTGGGCCAATCAATGCTGGTCTGTTCCAATGCCGAGAAACTCCAAGTTGGGTGGTCCTCCAGCCCCAGGTCAAGTGAGGGGAACTCACTGAATACTACCTCAGTTCAAGAAATCTGACCTGCTACTTTTAAAAATGCCGGTAATTATTTGATCACAGCTGAAGAGGTCAACTATCAATTCCCTCTAGCTGTCTACGAAGTCAAAACAGCACATCATGGACCAATATACAAAGACACTGTAGGCCTCATTCTCCCCCGTTCTAGCATCTCTGCATGAGGTTTATTTGCTGTACCAGGTGTCATTGATGGGGATTTTGAAGGACCTCTAATTATTCAAACCTGGTCTAATATACCACAGGTCCTTCCTGCAGGTGAATCTATTGCTCAATTGTTGTTGCTTCCATTAACACAGATGGGTCCTTCTACCAACCCTTGTAGTGGAGGTTTTGGTTCTACTCGAGTTGCTGCCTTAACTAACATTGAGCACTCACAGCCCCAACTCCCTCTTAAAATGGGATCACTGGTATTAATGGCCTGATTGATACAGGAGCTGACATTACTGTTATTGCAAAGAAAGACTGGCCAGAAAGCTATCACACCCAGCCAGTGCATGACATTTGGGGAGTTGGAGGTTATGAGCCAGCACAGAAAAGCCTTCAGTCCATTGTCTAGGTGACTCTCCTAGACAAATCACAATTACTCTTTACATTCTGCCTATTCCATTTTTCATCTTGGGTTGGGATCTCTCGAAAAAGATTGATGATAAACTGCAGAAAAATTATAATACAGGCCTCTACGCAATCTGACGCAGCCTTGCCATTAATGTGGCTCTCTGGACCACCTGTCTGGGTCAATCCATGGCCATTGTCTAAAGAAAAGCTCCATGCAGTGGAAGCCTTAGTTAAGGAGCAATTAGATCAAGGACATATAGAGTATTCCACCAGTCCATGGAATACCCCAATTTTCACCTTCAAAAAGAAATCTGGCAAGTGGCATTTGGTACACGACCTTTGGGAAGTTAACAAGTGCATTCATCCTATGGGCCCTTTGCAATGCAGCTTACCTAATCCAAATTTGATACCCCAACACTAAGAGTTGGTGATAGTGGATCTCAAGCACTGTTTCATCACCATTCCTTTAGCACCAAAAGATAGGGAAAATTTGCCTTTACAGTCCCTGTGTACAATAATTCCCATCCTACTCAAAGATATCAGTACAAAGTCTTGCCACAGGGAATGTTGAATTCCCCTGCTTTATGTCAACATTTTGTGGATCTAGCCCTGCAGCAATTTTGTTTAGAACACCCTGAATTGCTTGTATATCATTACATGGAAGACATATTGGTGGCTGGGCATTCCCTCCCCACTACTGTCTATGATTCTCTAGCTAACTGCTTAGAGAAAAAAGGCCTTCACATAGCTGCAGAAAAGATACAAATTGCACCTCCGTTTCTTTATCT